ATATATTTATTCACCCAAACCTAGTTGGTGTATCAATATACCCAACAGTTCTCTTTGCATTGAAGCCTAAAATTGATGCGGAACTAGACAGCAGGGAGTGCTCCAACCTGTGGACTGTAGCCAGTGGGAGACTCCCATAGTGACCCCAGTTAAGCCTAACAGGGACATTCACATTTGTGCAGACTGCAAGTGCATCATAAAAAAGGCACTACACCAGCATGCTTACCCTTTACCAGTGGTAAGCTACATCCTCATCTCACTCCAAGGAGGTTGAATCTTTGCTAAGCTGACCTCACCCAGGCCTACCAGCAGTTACCAGTAGATGATGCTACTGCAGAAGCACAAACAATAGTCACACACAGAAGTGCATTCCGAGTGTGCCGCTTGCAGTTTGAGGTAAATGTAGCACCAGGGTTGTTCCAAAGATTTATGGAGCGATCACTGAAGAACATTACTGGCATTTGTCTGTACTTTGATGATGTCTTAATTGCAAGGGAATGAGCACCAGTCCTGGTGGAATGTCTCTGTGCAGTACTCCAACGTTTCTGAAAGGCAGGCCTAAAACTCAAAAATGAAAAGTGCCAGATGAGTGTGGAATTCACCGAATTCCTGGGTTTCTGCATTGATGCTGCTGGAATCCAACCATCTGAAGCAAAACTAAAGCAGGCCCCCACAACAAAATCCAAGGGGGAGCTTCAAGCATTCCTGGGCTTGCTCAATTTTTACCACTCCTTTCTGCATAAAGCTGCCCTGGCAGAACCACTACACCACCTTCTGGACAAAAAAGTACCCTGGATCTGGTTGAGAACTCAAGACAAAGCATTCAAGGCAGTGAAATCATTGCTATCCTTGGACTCCGCCCTAGTTCATTTCAACAAAACCCTACCTGTAACACTAGCCTGTGATGCTTTGCCATATGGCAATGGGGCAGTACTAAGCCACGGCATCCAGATGATAGAGAGGCCCCCATTGCATACTATTCTAGAATGTTATCATCAGCTGAAAGGAACTATGCCCAGATAGACAAGGAAGCCCTTGCCATAGTGGCTGGCATTAAGAAGTTCCACAACTTCTTATATGGATGAACCTTCACCATCTTTACAGACCACAAACCTCTGCTTGGTCTCTTCACAGCTGACAGACACCACAGATCCTATCACCACAAATGCTATGATGGTCCATTTTCATGGCTGCATATGAGTATACCAGCTAGTCCACAAGCTGGGCAAGGAAATGGGCCATGCTGATGCTCTCAGCTGACTGCCTCTACCTCAGACTGAGCTGGATCTGGCCACAGGTTTCATATTCAGATGATCCAGGACCTGCCTGAAACCACCATGGACAGAACGTTTAGCTGCTTTCTCAACTGGGTGTTAAGGGGATGGCCAGAGGCCTGCCAGGTCCTGTGTTCTAGCACTACGCTTCTTGGAAAAATGAACTGTCAGCCCACAAGGAATGTGTGCTGTGGGGCAACAGAGTCATCATTCTACCCAGTCTTCACTCCAGGGTGCTGGATTCCCTACATGAGGGGTACCCATGAACTGCTCGGATGAAGGCTTTAGCCAGGAGCTACTTGTGGTGGCCAGGCCTGGACAAAGACATTGAGAATCAAGTAAGGAGTTGCCAGGTCTGCCAAGAAAACACACAAGGAGATGCCTCAAGCACCAGTGCACTGCTGGGAGACCGCACATGCCCCATGGTCTTGCATGCACATTGACTTTGCGGGGCCTTTCCAGGGGCAGGTGTTCCTGATAGTAGTGGACAGTTATTCCAAGTGGTTGGAAGTGGCACAGGTCTCATCGATGACAATGACCAGGATCATCCAAGAGTTGCACCGACTGTTTATCACACATGGTCTGCCAGATGAGATCGTGTCCAACAACAGGGCACAATTCACGGCAGAAGAGTTTCAATCTTTTCTCAACACCAACATGATTCAGCACATATAATCTGCTTCATTTCACCAACTGTCAGGCCAAATGAATGGTCAGGAACACAAAGGAGGCACTCAAGCATATGATGACTGGGGACTGGAATCACTGCCTGGCAAACTTCCTCTTTGTCACACACACAACTCCCAGTACAGCAACATGTTGCAGCCTAGCAGAGCTTGTGGGGGGGGGGGGGTTGCCGGCTTACCATGAAACTCAACAGATTTCACCCAGACAGAGTAGTGGTGGAAACGGCTCAGCAAAATCCCCAGGAATTTACAACATGGTGAATTGGTCTGGGCCAGGAACTATGGGAGTGGAGCACCTTGGGTGACAGCTAGGTAACAGGCCCCTTGTCATATGAGATTATTCTGTGGAATGATCGTACAGTCTGTTATGTCTTTGGGACTGGTTGGAGTCCCGAACCAGGTCCGCTGTTTGAGCGGGAGCACCAGCCGCTCCCATTGGCTGGCACCGTTTGACAGCCGGCCATAAAAGGCGGCTGTCGAGCAGTGCCAGCCCCGTTGCCGCCAGCTAACCTGCCTAGTTAGGAGGCAGACGCGGCAACCCTTTATTCATTGCAATAAAGCCTTTTACGTTTCACTCTGGCTCAGCCTCGTTCCTCCGCCGCTCTACAACACTGGCGACGAGGGCGGGATGCGATCGAAGGCTGCCAGACGTGCAATTCAGAGGAGCTGTGGTCACTGAGAGTGAAACCACGGGCGCTGAAGCCGCAGCCGCCGATGCTCACAAAGAGCGCGAAATTCAAAAAAGCCTCTGTAGCTTTTGAGCTGTAGTCACTAAGAGCGAAGCCACGGGCGCTGAAGCCGCAGCCGCCGGCACTCACAAAGGGCGCGAAATTCAAAAAACCTCCATAGTCGGAGAGACAGACACCGCCTGATAAGCGCAGCCACTAGCGCTCTTCTATGAGCGCGAATTTTGAATCACGACTGAAGGGGACGAACCCTGCCGCTTCAAAAAATGAATGCCAATCCGACATTCCCACCATTCAAGCCAGCTGAGGAAACGTGGGACTCATACAAAAACCGTTTCAGCTACTTCCTCGATGCCATCGGTTTAGCAGATGCTGCTGAACATAGGAAAAAATCCTACTTCCTCAGCTACTGTGGGGCTGCGGTTTTTGACACCGCTACAGCACTAGTCGCCCCTCGCGCTATCAGGAGCATACCTTGGGATGAACTCCAAGAGATCCTCTCCAACCACTACTCACCTAAACCATCCCAGATAGCCAGGAGATACACTTTCAGAACTAGAAGGCAGGCTGAGGGAGTCAATTAATGAGTATATGGCAGCTCTGAGGACAGCTGCCTTACAGTGTGGTTTCAGAGATTACCTAGAAGACCTGTTATTAGACCAGATCGTCTGTGGGGTTAGAGACCTTAGGCTTCAAAGACGTTTGCTAGCAAAAAAGGACTTAAACCTAGCTTTAGCCGTGGAGGAAGCCCAAGCTGCTGAGCTCTCTGCCCAATCAGCAGCTGAAATTCAAGGAACTCCTTTAAAACCCTGCAGTTCCACTATTCATTCAGAGGAAGTTTCCCTTGAAGAAGACCCCATAGACTCAACAGGCATTAACCACCTTAAGCAACAAAAGCCTTCACAGGTAGGAGCAGGGCAGAGAAACAACTTCACCCCCAAGCAACCTCCCATTTGCCTAGCTTGCGGGGGCTCCCACTCTAGGGCATCCTGCAGGTTTAAGAACGCCATCTGCCTGAATTGTCAAAAGAAAGGCCACCTCGCTAGAATCTGCCAAGCAGGGCGAACCTTTCCTCAAAGACCTCCACCACCTACTAATTTTCAAAGGCAAGTGGAGGACTGCTATACCTGCTACCATGCTAACCAAACTTCCCAGACTCCTAATAAAATCAGTATTTCTGTTTCTTTAGAAGGTAAGCCCTGCAGGATGGAAGTAGACACGGGATCTGCACTTTCAATCATCTCCTGGGAAACCCTAAAGAAGATTCATCCCAGATTTGCGAAGAAGAAGCTGCAGAGATGCCACCTGACACTGCAGGACTACCAGGGCAAGAACATCCCTGTCCTCGGGAAAGGCAAGTTTTTAGTTCAGTTCCAAGCCTTTAAAGGCCATTTGCCTTTGGTGGTTGTTAATGGTGCCCTCCCCAGTCTGTTGGGGCTAGATTGGTTCCCCTCCCTCGGCCTTAGTGTAACTGGGATCCATGCTGTCTCAACTTCTGACGTAGACGCCCTATTCTCAGATTACTCTGATGTTTTTAGCAGCGAGCTGGGCTGTTATTCTGGCACCCCCATCTCCTTCTCTGTGGACCCCCAGGCAATTCCTCTTCGCCTTAAGCCACGCAGAGTGCCTTTCGCCATCCGTCCCAAGTTAGATTTAGAATTAGATAAGTTACTAAAGCAAGGGGTGTTAGAACCAACTGACTTTGCCAAATGGGAGACCCTCATAGTCACCCCACTCAAGAAAGATGGCAGTTTAAGAATCTGCGCAGACTATAAAACCACCCTCAACCGTTATCTGCAGGTCAGTGCCTACCCGGTCCCTGTTATTCAACACCTGTTACACACCTTCGAACCCGGCACCATTTTTGCCAAATTAGACATGTCCCAGGCATACCAACAGTTCCCTGTTGATGATCAGACAGCTGAATTACAAACCATAGTCACACATAGAGGGGCATTCAAGTGCAAACGCCTCCAATTCGGTGTGAGTGTAGCCCCGGGTATATTCCAATCACTCATGGAAAGGATTCTCCAAGGTCTCCCAGGGGTTGTCCCTTATTTCGATGACATCTTAGTCTCAGCAGTTGACAAACCTCAGCTCATACAAAGGGTCAGAGCAGTCCTAGAGAAGTTTAGGCAGCATGGCCTCAAACTTAAAAGGGAGAAGTGCGCCATCGCCACTAGGCAAGTGGACTTTCTGGGATATAGGATAGATGCCTCTGGCATTCACCCAATTGAATCCAAAGTAAAGGCTATCCATGAGGCGCCTACACCAACTAACAAGACGGAGCTCCAAGCCTTTCTGGGGCTACTAAACTTTTACGCTTCATTTCTCCCGCACAAAGCATCTATTGCTGAACCCTTACACAGACTGTTAGACAAAGAATCCCCCTGGCATTGGGGACCCAAAGAAGCCCATGCCTTCAAGTCAGTCAAATCCTTACTCACATCTGATGCAGTTTTAATCCAATATGATCAACGACTTCCCCTGGTCCTAGCTGCTGATGCATCTCCCTTTGGGATTGGGGCTGTTCTGAGCCACAGGCTTCCCAACGGTTCCGAGGCACCAATTGCTTTCTTCTCTAGGACCTTCTCTACTGCAGAAAGGAACTACAGCCAAATAGATAAGGAGGCCTTGGCTGCAGTAGCTGCAGTAAAAAAGTTTCATGAATTTTTGTTTGGGCACCATTTTGAACTTATAACTCACCATAAACCACTCCTGGGGCTGTTATCAGGGGATAAGCAAACCCCGCAGGTACTATCACCTAGAATGACCAGGTGGACTTTGTTCCTGGCCGATTATTCATTCAAGTTGGTGCATCGCCCTGGAAAAAACTTGAGTCACGCCGATGCCCTTAGTCGCTGCCCCCTACCAGTCCCAGTCGAAGACCCAGCACCTGTTCATGCCATTTTTGAAGTTAATGAACTTAAATTGCCGGTCACAGCCAAGGACATTGCTGCGCACTCAAAAAAAGACAGAATAATTGCCCAAGTCATGGACTGGGTGGGAAGGGGGTGGCCGGAAACGCAATACACTGCTGACTTTGCTCCTTTCAAAACCCGTAAGCAGGAATTGTCGAAACTACAAGGATGTCTGTTGTGGGGGACAAGGGTAGTCATCCCAGCCACTCTTCGTGTACCCATCCTGAAGGTACTTCATGAGGGCCACCCGGGCATCGTAAGGATGAAGGCTCTGGCCCGCAGCTACGTTTGGTGGCCCGGCATGGATACTCAAATCTCCAGCTGGGTAAGCTCATGCCAACCTTGCCAAGAAACCAGGGCTGCCCCACCAGCAGCTACGCCTACCAAGTGGGAGAGTGCTAGTGGTCCTTGGTCTCGCCTGCACATCGACCTGGCTGGACCAGTACATGGCAGGACCTTCTTGGTTGTAGTAGACTCTTACTCCAAATGGATAGACTTGGCCCTACTACCCTCGACAACCACTCAAGCAATCGTTAAGGCTCTGACCCGCCTCTTCGTTACCCATGGGCTCCCTGACACGCTGGTGTCTGACAATGGCCCCCAGTTCACGTCGTGTGAGTTTAGCATGTACGTTGCCAACTTGGGCATCAGACACATCCTTACAGCCCCCTTTCACCCCGCTGGCAACGGGATGGCTGAGAGGGCAGTCAGGTCAGCAAAAGAGGCACTTGCCAGGTTTGGCCAGGAAAACTGGCACTCCAAACTGTCACATTACCTCCTGAGCCAACATACGACGCCATGCACCGCTACAAATAAATCCCCTGCCGAGCTCTTGATGGGGAGGCGCCTTAGGATCACCCTGGACAGGTTGCACCCCCACTACTGCCCAGACACCCCTTTAGGATCTGACAGTTTGGTCAGGGACTTTGCCCTGCATGACCTGGTGTACGCCAGGAATTATGCAGGGGATCCTCTGTGGGTACCAGGTCAAGTTGTGTCAGTCACAGGTCCTAGATCCTACAGGGTCCTCCTGGAAGATGGATGCCTGTGGCGTAGACACGTGGACCAGCTCAGAAGGCGATGGAGAAGCACAACTGATACCAACCCAGCCCAACCTCCAAGCACCGAGGGCTCCCTGCCGGTACCAGCCTACCCAGACGGAAGCTCCCTGCAGGATCCAATCTACCCCATCGACCAAGAGAGTTTGCTGGAGGGCCCGAGCTACCAACAAGGAACACCGAACCAGCAGCCAAGCGAACCTGTCTGCCGGCCGGACCAAGCGACTCGCCAAGGTCAGCCCGAACAGGGGGACTTACCTAATTCACAGAGCACCACACCGGACCGAGCCCACTCCCCAACAACCTCCGAGACGATTCCTGGGGGCAAGGACTTGACGCCAGCCAGCAGCTTGCCCAGGTTGCGACGTTCTTGCCGCCAGCGCAGACAACCAACTTACCTGAAGGACTACGCATGCTCCCAGCTGGGGGAAAGGAGTGTTATGTCTTTGGGACTGGTTGGAGTCCCCAACCAGGTCCGCTGTTTGAGCGGGAGCACCAGCCGCTCCCATTGGCT